TGGGGGGGGAATTGGGGGGGTTGGGAAATGGGGGAAAATGGGAAAAAACGGGGAAAATCAAAAATTGGAAAAATGGGGAAAGTGGGAAAAATCAGAAAAATGGGAAAAATTGGAAAAAGCAGAAAAGTGGGAAAAATAATTGGAAAAAAAATGGGAAAATGGGATAAACAGGGAAATCAGAATTTGGAAAAATGGGGAAAATGGGATAAATGGGAAAAGTGGGAAAAGATGGGAAAAAATGGGGAAAATGGGGAAATCAAAACCTGGAAAAATAATTGGAAAAAATGGGGAAAATGGGAAAAAATGAGAAAAATCTGAAAAAATTGGAAAAATCTGAAAAATCAGAAAAAATGGGGAAAATGAGAAAAGCAGGAAAAATTTAAAAATAGGGAAAAGCAGAAAAAAATTGGAAAAATTGGAAAAAATTAGAAAAATTGGAAAAATCAGAAAAAATGGGAAAATAATTGGAAAAAATGGGGGAAATGGGAAAAATTGGAAAAACAGGGAAAATTTGGAAAAATCAGAAAAATTGGAAAAATGGGGGAAATGGAAAAAATTTGAAAAATTGGGAAAAATTGAAATATTGGAAAAATTAGGAAAATGGGAAAAATTGGGAAAATGGGAAAAATTGGGGAAATTGTGAAAATCAGAAGGATTGAAAAAAATTAGAGAAATGGGAAAAATCATAAAAACTGGAAAAATCGGGAAAAATCAGAAAACCTTGGGAAAATCAGGCTGGGAATTCCAAGAGGGGGAAGGGCTGGGATGACGCCTGGGTTCGGCGGGATCCCAAATATTCCGACGGGGAAAAATCCCTTCCCAACCCCAACCCGGATCATCCCAGGAACAACAAGCCCAAAAAGTGGGAAAAGCCCTGGGAATGGCAGGAAGGATCCCTGGGAAAGGGTGGTTTGGGGTTTTCGGGGAGCGCGGGGAGGAGGAGCCGTTCCCTGATCCCAAATTCCCAGATTCCGTGTCCCGTTCCCAGGGCTCCTGATCCAGCAGGTGATTTTCTTCCTGTGCTCCGTGGCCTTCGCATTCCTGGTGGTGATCCCGCTGCAGGCCGGCCACGGCTCCCCGCTCCTTGGGATCCTCCGGAACGTTTGGTGAGGCCTCGGGAAAAGCTGGGAAAGGCCCTGCATAGCTTTGGGATGGTTTTCCAACACTTCTGGACGTTTCTGCTTCCCACGGCCATGGTTTGGGCCATTCCTGGGATTTTTGGGACATTTCCAGGATTTGGAACCATTCCCAGTATCTTTGGGGTAATTCCTGGTGTTCTGGGTCCATTCCTGGTGGTTTTGAGTCAATTCCCAGTATTCCCAGTCCATTCCTGGTGATTCCGGGTCCATTCCCATGGTTCCAGGTCCATTCCCATTGATTCCATGTCCATTCCCGGTGTTATTTCCGCTCCGTTCCCAGTGTTTTTCTGTGTTCATTCCTGGTGATTCCAGTTTCATTTCCAGTATTCCTGCTCCATTCCTGGTGTTTTTGGGGTCCATTCCCGGTGTTTTTGGGGTCCATTCCCAGTGTTATTCCCGCTCCATTCCCGGTGTTTTTGGGGTCCATTCCCGGTGTTTTTGGGGTCCATTCCCGGTGTTGTTCCCGCTCCATTCCCGGTGTTGTTCCCGCTCCATTCCCGGTGTTTTTGGGGTCCATTCCCAGTGTTGTTCCCGCTCCATTCCCGCTGTTGTTCCCGCTCCATTCCCGCTGTTGTTCCCGCTCCATTCCCGGTGTTCCTGCTCCATTCCCGCTGTTGTTCCCGCTCCAGGCCCCTCTGGCTGTTCCTGTTCCTGGCCGTGCTCCTGCAGCACCTCCTGGCCCATTTCCACTTCCTGCAGCGCAACTCCCTGAGCGCCGAGCTGGCCCACAGGTACCCACAGTGTCACCCGGTGTCACCCAGTGTCCCCGAGTGTCACCCAGTGTCCCCCAGTGTCCCCAAGCATCCCCAATGTCCCCAGAGTGTCCCCAAGTGTCACCCAGTGTCCCTAAGTGTCCCTGAGTGTCCCCCAGTGTCACCCAGTGTCCCCAAGTGTCACCCAGTGTCACCCAGTGTCACCAGTGTCACCTGAGTGTCCCCGAGTGTCCCCAAGCATCCCCAATGTCCCCAGAGTGTCCCCAAGTGTCACCCAGTGTCCCTAAGTGTCCCTGAGTGTCCCCAAGGGTCCCTGAGTGTCACCCAGTGTCACCCAGTGTCCCCAAGTGTCCCCCAGTGTCACCCAGTGTCCCCAAGTGTCACCCAGTGTCACCCAGTGTCACCCAGTGTCAACCAATGTCCCCAAGTGTCACCCAGTGTCCCCAAGTGTCACCCAGTGTCCCCGAGTGTCACCCAGTGTCCCCAAGTGTCCCCCAGTGTCACCCAGTGTCCCCGAGTGTCACCCAATGTCCCCAAGTGTCACCCAGTGTCACCCAGTGTCACCCAATGTCACCAAGTATCACCCAGTGTCCCCGAGTGTCACCCAGTGTCCCCCAGTGTCACCCAGTGTCCCCGAGTGTCACCCAGTGTCACTGAGTGTCCCTTAGTGTCCCCTGAGGGTCCCCTGAGGGTCCCCAAAGTGTCCCTTGAGTGTCCCTGAGTGTCCCCAAATGTCCCCAAAGTGTCCCAAATGTCCCCAAAGTGTCCCCTCAGTGTCCCCATGTGTCCCCAGCCTGGCTCTGGTGACAATCCCAGGCTCTCCCGGAGGTTTCTTGGGAAGTTCTGGCCGGGATTTTGGTGGGGTGACCTTGGTGAGGTGGCCCTGCTCTGCTGGCCCCGTCTCCGAAAATCCGGGAAAAGCCCAATCCCACAGGATTGGCCGGATGGGGCCGTTGGCAGATGTCCCTGCCCAGGACACGGTGTCACCACCCGGGATGGGGTGACAGAGGGACCCGAGTGTCCGGTCCCACCCCCTGGCAGGGCACCGAGGTTCTCCTCAGCCCATCCCAGGCCACCGGCAGATGTCCCTCACTGGGACACGGTGTCACAACCTGAGACTGGGGTGACACACGGACCCAAGTGTCCCCAGCTCTCCTGGAGCTGCTGTCCATCCCAGGCCACCAGCAGATGTCCCTCACCCAGGGATGGTGTCACCACCCAAGATGGGGTGACAGAGGTGTCCAGTCCCACCCCCTGGCAGGGCACCAAGGTTCTTTCTGCTGTCCATCCCAAACCACCAGCAGATGTCCCTCACTCCCACGTGTTGTCACCACTTGGGATGGGGTGACAGAGGGACCCGAGGATTCTCCTTCCACCTCTTCTGTCACCTCCTGATGTGGCAGTGATGCTCTCCTGGAGCTGCTATCCATCCCAGGCCACCAGCAGATGTCCCTCACCCAGGGATGGTGTCACCACCCAAGATGGGGTGACAGAGGGACCCGAGTGTCCCCCTGGTGTGGCACTGATGCTCTCCTGGGTCTGGTGGCCTCCATCCCAAAATCCCAACCCCACGTTTTGGCCGTTCCCTCCATCCCCGAGGAGAAAAGGAGCTCCTGGAAGTTCTCCTGGAGGTTCCCCAGGAGCTCAGGTGGGGCCGGGTAGTTGGGATGGGCCGGACTTTTCCCGGGAAATCCATCCCGTGGGATTCCGTGCCTTGCAGGTGCACTCTGAGTGTCACCTCCTTCCTGCTCTTCCCCACCAACGTCCTGGTGGGCTTGGTGGCCGGAGTGTGGCGCGTGGTCATCTCCGGCCTCTACAACTCTGTCCACTTCTGCCGGCTGGACATCAGCCTGCTGCACCGCCGTGCCGACACCTTCGACCCAGGTGGGAGTGCACCGGGGGCTGGAATGGGGACAGCCTCAAATCCTTGGGAATGGGACACCTGGAGCTTCTCCTGTTCCTGGTTTTCATCCTGAAAAAAAGTGGGATGAGCTTTGGGGTTTGACCTCGTGTCCTGGGAGAAGGGAGAGGAGACCTCAGGGGGGTTCCCCTGTTTTTCCCGCTGGGATTGATGGTGGCCGAAAATGTTGGGAATGGGACACCTGGAGCTGCTCCTCATTCCTGGTTTTCATCCCGAAAAAATGTGGGATGAGCTTGGGGTTTGTCCTAGAGGAAAGAAGAAAGGATCTCAGGCCTCCTCCCATCCCAAAAAAAAAAGTGGGATGAGCTTTGGGGTTTGACCTCGTGTCCTGGGAGAAAGAAGAAAGGACTTCAGGCCTTCTCCTGTTTCTCCTGTTGGGATTGATGGTGGCCTCAAAACCTTGGGAATGGGACACCTGAAGCTTCTTCTGGTTGCTGGCTTTCATCCCAAAAAAAAAACTGGGATGAGCTTTGGGGTTCAACTTGGGGGAGAGAAGAAAGGATCTCAGGCCTTCTCCTGTCCCAGAAAAAAGTGGGATGAGCTTTGGATTTGACCTCACGTCCTGGGAGAAAGGATCTCAGGCCTTCTCCCGCTTTTCCAGCTGGGATTGAGGGTGGCTTGGAAATGGGAAAACAGCAGCAAGGGGCTTCTCCCGATTCCTGCTTGATCCTGCTTTTTATCCCCCAAAAAATGTGGGATGAGCTTTGGGGATTGACCCCATGTCCTGGGAGAAAGGGGAGGAGACCTCAGGGGAGCTTCCTCTGTTTTTCCTGCCGGGATTGTGAGAGTACGGAAAGCAGAGCTGGATCCTTCCATCGGCTGTGGGGTGGGAAGGAGCTAGAAAGCAGGAATGGGGAATTGGGGATGGGGAATGGGGAATTGGGATGTGGGGAATGGGAATGGGAATGGGAATGAAAATTGGGAATGGGGATGGGGAACAGGGAATGCAGTCCCGGCTGAGGGCACGCTGTCGCTTCAGGGTACCACAGCTACTGCCACTACCTGCGGGTGGAGGTCAGCCAGTGCCACCCCCTGCTCAAGGCCTTCTGCTTCCTGCTCCTCCAGCCCTGCCGGCCGGAGCCACCCCGGGACACCCAGCTGGAGGAAGGTGGGAACTGGGAAAGCACCAGAACAGGGGGAGGGACACACGGATGGTGTCTTGTGATGCCTTGGGTTGGTGTGGGGACACCTCCATCCATCCATCCATCCATGGATCCATCCATCCATCCATGGATCCATCCATCTATCCATCCATCCATGGATCCATCCATCTATCCATCCATCCATCCATCCATCCATCCATCCATCCATCATCCATCCATCATCCATCCATCCATCCATCATCCATCCATCCATCCATCCATCCATCCATCCATCCATCCATCCATCCATCATCCATCCATCATCCATCCATCATCCATCATCCATCCATCATCCATCCATCATCCATCCATCCATCCATCCATCCATCCATCCATCCATCCATCCATCCATCATCCATCCATCCATCCATCCATCCATCCATCCATCCATCCATCCATCCATCCATCCATCCATCATCCATCCATGGATTCCATCCATCCATCCAAGGGCTGGTCCCATGCCAAGGTCAGGATCTTTGGGATGTGGTGGGATCTTGGTGGCTCCAGAGAAATGGGGCTGGAATCCGGGAATCCTGGAATGCTTCGGCTTGGATGGGACCTTGATGCCCATCCAGGGACCCCTCCCACTATCCCAGGCTGCTCCAATCCCTCTCCAACCTTTCCTTGGGCACTTCCAGGCATCCAGAGGCAGCCACAGCTTCTCTGGGAATTCCATCCCAGCCAGGAATTCCTTCCCGATATCCCCCTAGTCTCCTCATTCCCAACAGGAATCCATCCCCCTGTGCCTCATCCCAATCCCTCTCCCTCTCTCCTGGTGCTTTTCCAGGCCCTGAATGCTTTTCCTGCTGCTCCCGTCTCCTTCCAGGCCTCCAGCTGATGCATCCCAAGCATCCGGCTCTGGGAAAAGCTCGGATCCGGCAGATCCGGGCACGCTGGTGCCTGGCCTACACGCTCCTGCACAATCCCTCGCTGAGTGCTTCCCGGAAAACTGCGCTGGCCAATCCCGCCGCCAATGGCGCCCAGCTGGGCGTTCCCAGGCCCTGAATTCCCGGGAATCCTGTCCCATCTCCCATCCCATCCCCAGTGGGAATTTCAGGCTCTTCCCACCTCCCCCTTTCCCTTTTCCTCCGGACTCTCTCCAAGGGTTTATCCCTAAATCCCCTCCTGAGCTCCGGAGGTGATGCCTCTGAGCCCGGCCTGGATGGATCCAAGCCGAGGAAAACACTCCCAACATCCCAAAAATATTTTGGGATTCCCTCCCGCAGCCAGCCCCTTTCTCAGCAGCTTTTCCTCCACGGGACAATTCCCAGGGAACCGGGACAGGGATGCGGAGGGATCTTCTCCATCCCAAGGAATTCCCAACTGCCTGGAATTACCCCTGGAGCTCCACGTGGGAGAAAATTCCCATTCCCAGCTTCTCCCTCCCCGATCCCAGCTCTGTTTGGGCTCCGCATCCGCTCCCAGGACTTTTTTATCCCGCCAAGTTTTGAAGGATCAAATCCCTCCCTGCTCCCCGTCCTCTACCATTCCTGCTGGGTTTTCCAGGGCTGGGATCCATGGAAAACCTCGCTGGGAAGTGCAGGGGGAGGGGAATAAACAGATACCTCATTCCCGCTCCCGAGATGCACCTTCTTCCTTGGATATTCCCAGCTCCGGTGGAATTTGGAACCATCCCAGCCCCAAATCCAGGGAATGGTTGGGATGACCTCGCCCAGCAGAGATTTTGGGGATCTGCTCCAGCTGGGAATGTTGGGATCCAATCCATGATCCCAATTCAGGGCGGTTTTAAGGGAAAACAGCTCCCACAATTTAGGAACGGGGAATTTTGGGGATGAAACGCCAGCGGGATGGGAACGAGGCAGTGCTGGATCGTCTCTTCCTGCTCTTAAATCCCGGAATTTCAGACTTTTTGGGCTGGAATGAGCAGGTTCCTGGTGGCTCCTTCCATCCCAAACATCCCAAGATTCCCTTGGGAATTCTCAGCCCAGCCCACACAGAGCTACCAGATCATCCCAGGATTTCCTTGGAAATGGCTGGACCTGTTCTCCACAGGATCCCAAGGATCCCATTCCTCCCTCTGGAATGTTCCCCGCACCCTCAGGATGATTCCCGAGCTTTGGGGTTTCCTTGGAGCGTCCCCCCCTCTTTTCCCAGGATTCCCTCCCGGCCCATCCTGACCCCTGCGGCCCCAAAGGCAGCTGAAAATTCCTTCCAAAAATCCCTTTAAATATCCCTAAAATCCCTTCAAATATTCCAAAAATCTCTTCCAAAAATCCCTTTAAAAGTTCCTTTAAAAATTCCAAAAATCCCTTTAAAAATCCCTAAAATACCTTTAAAGATAAAAAAAAACCTCTTTAAAAATCCCATTAAAAATCCCAAAAATCCCTTAAAAAATCCCCCAAATCCCCAAAAAAATCCCCAAAATCCCTTCAAAAAATCCCAAGATCCCTTTAAAAATTCCTTTAAAAATACCAAAAATTCCTTTAAAAATCCCTTTTAATAATATCAAAAATCCCTTTGAAAATAGTAATAAAAAAATCCATTTAAAAAAATCACATTAAAACTCCCAAAAATCCCATTAAAAAATCCCAAAAACCCTTTAAAAATCCCAAAAATCCCTTTAAAAATCCCAAAAATCCGTGGCAGCTCCATGCCACGGGTGGGGCTGAATTTTTGGGATCTGTTTTCATATCCCCACCCAAGGCTCCCGGGAGATCCGTGGAATTTCTGGGGTTTCTGGGACAGCAGCCACACCCTGGGCGGCATTTGGGATTTTCTTGCCCTTCCTGACTCTTTCCACATCCCAGCTGGAATTTCGGGATTAATCCCCCAGGGACAAACCAGAGCTTAAAAGTCGGATCCTGTGGAATGAACCCCAAAATTTTCCTTGGGGGCACGGTTTTCATCCCAAAGCATGAAAAATTTGTGGGAATTCCTCACAGAGACCTCGGCTGCCAAATTCCCTTTCCCTAAAATCTGTTTGGATAAGGAATTTTGGCGCTGGAGAGCTCCAGGCTCTGCTTTTCCAGCTGATTTTGGGATTTCTGTTGGGGGCGGATTTTGGGGTATCCCACGATTTTGGGGTATCCCACGATTTTGGGGATTCGGGATTTTGGGGTATCCCAGGATTTTGGGGGTATCCCAGGATTTTGGGGATTCGGGATTTTGGGAATTTTTTGGGGGACGATTTTGGGATGCACAGAGCAAGCTAAGCCCGGCTGGTTTAGAAAAACCCGAGGAGTTTATTCAAGGTGTTTATTAAGAAGTCATTATTAATTCAAAGTGCTCATTAATTAAATGCATTCATTAAAAACCGTTCCTCTATTCAAGGTGTTTATTACAGGTATTTATTAATTAAAGGCATTAATTAAAGGCGTTAACTGCTGGCCCTATAGGGGCCCAGATCCCACTGGGAATTCCAGAGCTGGATCCATTCCCAAATCCCCGCCCTCCGAGGGATTCCCGGGATCAGCTGGATAAGGAATGTTTGTCCTGCCGGGAATTCCAGAGCACACCGGGAATGTTCATGGCTTAAAGGCAGCTCCGCTTCCCTGCTTTTCCCCATCTTCCCCCCATTCCCACTGGGAATGCTTTGTGAATCTTTGGCTCGAGCGGTGGGTCCAGCCCAGACGGGTTCTTTGGGATCGCGGTGTTGGAATTCCCACGGCATTCCAGGAGGAGATCGGGATGGGAGCTCGGGATGGGAGCTCGGGATGGGAGCTCGGGATGGAAGCTTGGGGTGTTCCCGGAGCTCCTACGAGGAGAAAACCCGGGAATTTCTTCCCGATCCAAGGCCCTGGGTCCCCTGGGAGCCCATTCCCATGGGAAGGCACTTTTTCCTTGGATCCCTGGGCGGGATCTGGGGTGGGATTGTCCCGGCTCCAGCGCCTGGATCCGGGCCGGGAGAAAAGCGGGAAGTGGCGGCAGATCCCACCTGGATCTGGCCTGGATCTGCCCTGCATTCCCTGAGCCCCTCCAGGATCGGGAAGGGCCGGACCCGCCGGGATCCTAGAAGCTCAGCAAAGGCTCCGCGAAAGGGGAAAAAACTATGGGAAAAAAGGAATTTCCCCCCCACCAAAAAAAACACCGCTCCCCCTTCACCAGAGCAGCAACATCAGCAGAACCAGCGGCCAAATTCCCGGGCGGAATTCCTGGGCCGCCGCCGCCGCTGCGCTCCGGACCTCCTTGGGCAGGCGGTAGACGATGACCAACTTCTCTCCCATCCCGGATGGATCCAGCTCGTCCCCCTTGGAGCAGCTTTTCCCTCCGGGCTGCCCGGCCTGGGGGTCATCCCTGGGCAGCTCCTCGGCCGGGTTCCCGGAGCCGGACAGCGCCACGTTGACCGACACATCGCGCGTCCCCACCTCGTTGATGGCCAGGCAGGTGTAGGTGCCTTCATCCTCCTTCCCGAAATCCGGGATGGCCACGGTGCCGTTCTTGAAGGCCAGGAAGCGCCTCCCGCCCGCTTTGACGCCTCCGTCGCGGGCCACCGTGGGCCCGTGGATGTCCAAGCGGCGAGCGGCCGTGCGGATCCGCCAGTGGA